GAGACGCTTTCAAGAGGCCAGCCGTCTTCGAGCGTGGCCGCTGTATAGAAAATTGTGCGCGCAGGGAGATCCTGCGCGCACGTGGGAGGGGCTGGCGCGCTCGGAGAGCCTCTGAGCGCGCGGAGAGGAGCTGGCGCGCGCGGAGAGAGATTTTCTTCTCTTGAAGCAGCAGTTTCTCGCGCGGCGGTAGATAAACCATGCGCAGAAGTAGTCTAACATACATGCGAGTATGTTTATTTTGCTCGCGTTGGTTATGACATAAATGTAACGCCATAGAGAACTTTTGATTTCAGTGGAGCGCTCCATTAAAAGCTGCTGCTGCCGCAGTGCATGCTACTGTTGCGCTTTCTCCAGCTTCGTGCAGATTTGTCGTCAAGCCCTCAACACCCCGCCTGCTTTGCATCCAGACATTCAATCGCGTTGTGATTGGCTGGCCAGATTTAGGGCCTGGGGCATTGATCGAGGCTAGACCAAGTCGCAGGCAAAAATTATTTTGGCCGCTGGCGGGTGGGGATGGTTTACTAGGCTACGACTTTTAAGGATGTTTAAAACATTCACCAAAAATAAAAACTTAGCATATATTTTAATTTAAAATAGTTTTGCAAACAGACTTATCAAAATAACTAAATTCCACTGTGGATATCTGTGGTTAGAGACAATCAAGATGTTGAACAAAAAAAACCGATCCAAACAAGTTGGCCAACTGCTGATGCAAGGTTGCGAAATGTTTGTGATTCAAACTACGCCATGAAGTAGCATCTCAGGGCGTCTGGAAATCAAACCTGTTTAGAAGCCTTATGTTTGTTAACATGTTCAATAAAGCATCCATTTTTGAGAAATGTAACAAGACCTGATGTAGGTTGACTCTGATTCAAGTGTTCAGTCTCAGCTCTTTAGGCTGTGGATGATGGAGCATATTATAATCTGGCGTCTCTTTGATAACTCTGCTGTTTTGTTGGCATTTATAGAACTACTATGAAAAGATGGAGAAACGCCAGGAGAGGGAGCGAGACAGCAGCAGCAAGAAGGAACATGCCACCAAGCTGATTACTCCGCAGGTCGCCAAGGTGGAACACACCTACAGGCCAGGTAAGAATCAGCAGAACTGCCCTGGAACACCACAGAACCTTCTGCTGACGCTGCTGGATGTCGGTCTGCAGTTCAGTTTGCAGGATCTCTAGGGAAGCTTACAGTGTCCAGCGTGAACAACCCGCGAAAGATGATCGACGCTGTGGTGACGACTCGCTCCGACGACGAGGTGCGTGTTCGCATATTCTATCCTTAGTCAGGTGAAGCCATTGACTCAGGAGTTTAGTCCCTCATCACCTGGTTCTGTATGTCCTCCTGCAGGAGAAGAGAGAGAAGCAGGTTTGGAACAAGAGGCGTCAGATCCTCTACACCGTGGAGAAGGTAGGCGGAGCTCCGCTGAAGGGAAAAAAAATATTTAACGACGTCTCTTTTGGTTATTCGTTCTATTTTTTTTTTTTTTAAACCCCTGTTCAGATGTACAGTTTGCTACTGGAGGTCCAAGACTTCGAGAAACGTTTTGTTCAGACTCCAGAGGAGGAGAGGGAGGCCCTGCTGGAGCAGCATAAGACAAACACGGAGCAGCTGTGCAGCTCCCTGCAGGAGAAGGAGTGGGAAGACAGGTAGGATGGATGGGTGGATGGACGGACGGATGGATGGACGGACGGATGGACGGATGCATGGATGGATGCATGGATGGATGGATGGATGGATGGATGCATGGATGGATGCATGGATGGATGGATGGATGGATGGATGGACTTCAAGCTCTTGCAGCAGTTTAAATGCCCCTCCTCCTCCCACAGAGTGAGTGATGAGCAGTGCGTGATGATCATGTCAGTGAGGAAGGGCAAGCGGCTCATCGCCAGGCTCCTCCCCTTCCTGCCCGCATCCCAGGGTGCTGCCGTTGTCATGGTGATTGCTCGCAACCTCCCTGCCTTGGCGAAGAAGGACAAGCAGGACCAGGTAACCATCTTTCATTCACGTAAAGGTTATAAAAACACTTTTGAGGAATTTATCATGTGGAATAAACAAATGTAAGTTGTGCAGTAATGCTATGAGAAAAAAGTAGTGCTACTATTTAAAGAAATGAGAGTAGATGAAATGCTATTCTCATGATATATAATGAGATATTCTTGTTTTTATATTCTGTTTACCCTTCTTGTTTAGGCAAGCATTCTAGTCCTACACGGTCAAATCTCATCACAAGTATTTTATTTTTCATGTTTTTTACTTTAGTATGTTCTTATCTTTATAGATGTGATCTTTTTTTATAGGATTTCAGTGCTTTGTGACTGTGTTTGCCAAAAAGCGCTTTACAAATAAACTTTTTAAAACTTATTTACTGCTACCGCCTTCCAAAAGCTGGCCAAAGACTTTCTTGCTTGCTTCGCTGGCTGTGTTTCAGGGATTTATAACGTGGAGGTGGACGGCACTAGGTGCTCTGTTTCTCAGGAGTCAGCACATTAACACTTCCTCTGCAGTGTTAATGTATTGGGTTTTCAATCTGGGGTCAAAAAGTGATCAGTGGCGGGATCGGCTAATTTTCTGATAGGTACTTATCTATCGTTTTTATTTGCACTGTCAGCTGTGATTCTTCATCATCCGGTTTCAGAAGATTGTGGAGTAGATGCAGAGCAGGCTTCACATAGGAGGCTCTCATAACCCTCCCCAGAAAGTGCATCGGTGAAGTCTCAGAGTGCAGCTTCAGCTGGGCTAGAGTCATGCTTCATTTAGGGCTTGTTTCATTTTCGATATTTCGATTTTTTACGATGACGGCGGAAAGAAAGTTGTGGATAAAAGTGCAACAGTGTGCAACGCATTGTGCAACGCGTTTTGTTTATGCTAACAGCAACACGACCAACATGTCAGGCTAACACTCAACATATACCGAACCGAAAACCGTGACCACGAAACTGTGAACCGAACCGTGGATTTTGTGAACCCTTCCACCCCTAATACACATGTATGTATCATTAAATCAAACGCCGTGTGTCCCAGGGCCCTGGCATAATTACATGAAGAAAACATGTCAGAAAATGCCTTCTCCTGAAAATTTGAGAGAATGTGGAGCGATTTCGTCGGAGCAGCAGGAAAGTTAAGGTGAGCTTGCAGCGTCCTGGCGCAACTTTGAGCGGCAGAGTGAATTAGCGAACATCCTCCTGAGCGGGAATCATGCGGCGCTCCGTTCCGTTCACATGCTATTTGCAGGTTTAGTTTATGGTTACCCTTCATTATATGGCTCTGATGTGCTGGACCTGAAGGCGCTTGTGGTGGCAAAGAACTGCACCTTTTTAATGTTTTTTTTTTTTCTTTTTTTCCGGTTTCTATTGGACGAACATCTTTCAACACGTCTGTCAGGCTGTTCTACAGTTTTCTACCTTTAACGTAGGGAGTAGGTTTTGTAAATGAATCTGTTGGCGTTTGCTGAATCAGAGAAGGATCGGCCACCGCTGCTGAAGCCGCATTCAGCTTCTTACCTTTATCCGCCTGGCTCTCTTTGTGCTGTTTAGGATGCCTTCTTTTCGTTCATTCGATGTGTTCCCATCACTTGTCTTGATGCTCTCCTTGTAAAGTTCACGTCGTCGGGTGTGAACCCAAACCAGTTCCATATTATGAACGAAGAGTTTCATTTAGCTGCTTGCAAAATAATGGAACATAATTCATTCCATACAGTCGCTGAAGGGAAGGAAGACATCTCTGTTGAGCAAACAAAATGTTGCAACCCACACTTGGTCACTGTTATTATCATTGGTGGCTGAACTTCTTCAGCTGCTGCAGGAAGTACATCATCTGCTGTGGCATCTTGGCGAGGGAGGGGATGTGAGGCCCCCTCCCTGAGAGGCCCTGAGCAATGATGGTGCCCTGGAAGTAGAAAACATCAACGGTGGCAAGTTGTAAAGAAGGATGGGGAGAACTCTTTCAAAAGTCCATCTCCTCGGTTTTCTCAGTTGGAGAACAGGAAACCTTGTTTTGGTGTTTAAAGTTTGGATTGTTGCTAAAATATAACAAAAAATATTAATAAATATGGGGGGGAAAAACAAACACTTGGTTAGTTTTAGTTTTATTTACGTTTTTCTCTGTTCTCTGGTATTTTCCGTTACAGCCAGAGTTGTGATCGGCTCGGTTCTGATCCAAACCTCTCTCTGCTCTCCTGTCCAGGTGTTATGCTGCTTGGTGGAGCCGGTCTCTGCAGTCATTCAGTCGCTGTCCAGCTCCGCCCTCACAGACCTGCTACAGGAGCTTCAAGGTGGCGATGGTCAGCTGGCCGGCGTTCTGCAAAACAAGGTAAACCATCAGCAGACTGTAGCTGGTTGGTTGATCAGTCAGCCGGGGAGAACGTGTGTGAGATCACCTGCTAAGGAGGAATCGCTTCTTTTCCTGATGCTAGAAATGTCTTTCGTCCACCTGATCCTAAGCCGTTGTCACACCTTGCAGATTTAGACCACCGTATGCCTGACGTACGAAAAATATATATAAAGCACTGGCATACGTTGGATAAGTTATGGGTACGTTTTGCATACGTTATGAGAACGCTGAAGTACGCTGAACGTATGGCAAGTACATAAAAAAATGTGGGCATGCTCAAAATTTCCAGCGTATGCCATTCGTGGGGCATTAGTTATCTGATAGTTGACATATGTTAAGTGTAAGTTACTCATAAGTCATGGTGTCTAGCTTAACGAAAACCTATGAGTAGCATTCAATTCAGTTTATTTATATAGCGCCAATTCACAAGACTTGTCATCTTAAGGCCCTTTACAGAAACAATTCAACCAGATCATACAGTCAAACTGATTCAAAGTTTTCTATCCAAGGAAAACCAGTTGATTGCATTTAATCGAAGGCAATCCCTCATTCCAAACATACTTATAGCGACCGTGGAGAGGAAAAACTCCCTTTTAACAGGAAGAAACCTCCTGCAGAACCTGGTTTAGTGTGAGCGGCCATCTGCTGTGGGAGGCTGACGCTTCAGAGGACATGGGATGAAGAAACACTGGGCATAGAGTAGTTTCTGTTAAAAGAAAAACAGAATTCAAGGCTGAGTTATCAAGGCACTGTGCAGGTCTCCATGAGAAGCGCTGAACAACCACCTTCAGACGTTTATATTTTAAGTATGAGGCTGTATACCGCATAACCAGTGGGGATGGGTACTGTTCACATTACCGATACGGCAACGATGTTCTTTATCTGGTATTCAACAATACCCATTTATGGTACCAAGCCTCATGTCACTGGCTGCAGACGACAGACTAACAGATGCCAACGGTGCCAAATGTGGGATTTCTAGCCGTGGATCTGAGGGTGTAAACTTAATTCTGTTTCTTCTTAAGTTTTAAACTAAGAATAAACCAATAAACTGTAAAAATTCCTACTTTATTTGTTGTGTACACTAGAGATGTCCCGATCCAGGTTTTTGCACTTCCGATCCGATACCGATA